GTGGCGAAATCTGCATTGATATGTAACAACAAATGCCTCCTTCAAAGTAATCTACAGAGTCAAGAATAACCTACCAAATGCAATACGATTCCGTCTCCTTAGTATCGCAGAAGCTCTGACCATTCACATAGAAAAACTAGAGCTGTACATAAAAAAGAGAATTACTCAACCACTTCTACTATCACCGTAACAACTTTGTTGATTTTTGATGACTTAATTTTGTTTGTTTGCCTGTTTCTTTAATTGCTTATAATTCTTGTATTCATTTAGAACTCTTACGTAATCTCGCATTCTCTACTTTGTTCCTGTGTGTATTCTGAGTATAACTCAATCATCAAACTATTCATATTATTGTATAACTTCTATGTTAACAACTGTTTATGACAACTCTTCACCTTTATTACTACCCCCAATTTCATTAACACCCAATTTTCTTGACCGATCTTGTATAACGTAACTCCAACAACCAATCTTCAGCTGTTTAGTTAAAATAACCATAACCAATTGTAATTTTGTTTGCCAACCTAATGTACACATACATACAAAATAACCCTCATATATATTTGCGATTGTACAGCTAATAAAATGATATCGCTGCCGCCGAAAAGACTCTTTGCTGAATTAGGTGTTTTGTTTTCATTAATCTGTCTGTCTGTCTGTTTTCGATATAGAACTTTGCACATATGTGCGTAGTTCAAGTCGCCACACTACACTCCATGTAGCATACAAAGCAAGAAAAGAAAGTACAGGAAAAGTATATTAGAGACAGTAAACAGAACTGTGAGACAAAGGAAGAGTAATAATAACGAAGAACAAAACAGTTTCATTGGAAATCATAAGTCACAAGGAGTGGGTGCATCTGCGCCAAGCCAGTCATTGAGAACGATTTTCAGCCATGTCACCAATTGTTTCCAACCATTGGTTTTTACCATCCCGATGACCCCAACCAGTCAGGAAGTCTACACCTTCCTACGTGACTGGCTTAGACTAACTGTTGTAGATTTCATTGACTGGTGAAACTATGTTTTGGTTTGACCACCACTGGCTAGCTCTTTTCCAACCTGACCCTACATCCGCTAACATTGCTCGTCGAGGAAGGCGATGACTAGACACTCGCGTGTAACACATGTCCTAACCATCTCAGTCTTTGTAACTTCACAACTTCGTCGTCGATTGATTTCCCCTGTTTACCTAGCACTCAACCGATGCCTGCCTAACCTCAATATTGCTCACCACCTTATTATGCCACTTCACACGGGAGATAGAACGCAGGCACCTATGATCCAATACAGCTAGCTAATCTTTTCATCATGTCTTTCACTCTCAGTGGCCAGGTCTCACAGCTAGCCATAAAGGAGGACGGAGTGGATTGATGAGCAGTACACCCACCCTTTGGTCGATAGCCAGTCGAATATCTCGTCTTCTAAGCCAGAGACGGTGTAAACTGGCAAATGCGAAACGAGCCTCGTGCTGAGATTTCATCAGAGATCAGCCCGTTGGCACTGGCTGATGGTACTTCCCAAATAAGTGAAGCGGTCAACGCGCTCTACCACTTCACTTCCTATTTCTAAACTAGGAGTGAGTCGGTGTAGTCCAGTCCTGTAACATCATCTTGCATTTGACAAGCGGAGTGAATCGCATTGCAACATTCGTTTTCATTAATCCCTACAAAACGCTAAAATTTTAAATGATACTATCAGAAGTCTCTACTGAACTTAAAAAGACAAAGTGAGTAATTTACAAACAGATTAGAAAAGTAATATAATTATTATAATAATATATATAAATTATTAATAATAATAATAATACTAAACCATAATTACTGCACTTTCATTAAAGAATAATCATACCAGATAATCTGTCTGTCTGTCTGCATTCAACATAGAACTTGGCATCAAAGTGCAGCAGTTCCAGTTGCCACGTTCCAAATAGCACACAAAGAAAGGTAGACAAGAAGATGAGTGGAGAGAATCAATAGAGTTTCACAAGTATAAGAGTGAAACAGAATGGGTAATGGTAGAAAGGAATATGAAGGATTACAGAGACTGAATACATCTCCGCTGGCCATTGACAACGATTTTGTGCCATGTCACCTATTGTCTCCAGCCATTGATTCCTAGAGTAGAGTTCCGAGGACACCAACCCGGAAGTCTGCATCTCCCTACCTGACTGACTCAGTTTAACTGTCAAGGATTTATTTCATGGATTGATGCCATGTTTTTGTTTGGCCACCACTTACTCTTTTCCAACCTCCACCTATATCAGCTAGTAATGCCCGTCGTCGGGGGAGGCGATGGTTAGGCATGCGGACCACCTGACCTAGCCATCTCAATCTATGTAACTTTATAGCCTCGTCGATTGATTTTCCCTCTTTGCCTAACACTCTACGCCTAACGTCAACATTGCTTACTTTATTAAACCACCTAACGTGAGACAGAGATCGCAGACATCTATGATCGAAAGCAGTCAACCTTTTCATGTCTTCAACTCGTATTGGCCATGTTTCAGAGCCATAGAGAAGGACGGAGCGAACTGATGAGCAGTACACACGTCCCTTGGTTGATAACCGGATGTCACGCCTACGCCAGAGATGGTGTAAGTCAGCTGGAGCAGCTCGAGCTTTTTGGATCTATGCTGATATTTCGTCGCCAATCAGTCCGTTGGTGGTAATACAACTTCCCAAATAGGTGAAGTGGTCAACATGTTCTATCACTTCACTCCCTATCACTGAGTTAGGAGTTGACGTGGTCCAGTCCTGTAGCAGCATCTTACATTTTACAGGGGCGAATCGCATGCCAAACATACGAAGATTTCTGCTCAAGGTGTTCAGAAGACTCTGCATTTTGTCAGCATCCTCCCCTAACAGGACTATGTCATCTGCATATTCTAAGTCCATAAGACTATATCCTGGTAACAATTCGATTCCTAAGTCGTTACGTTCAGTTAAGGATACTTCCATCAGGATATCTATGATGAAGTTAAACAGAAATGGGGAAATGGACATCCCTGTCGGACACCACCACTGGTTGTTACCAATTCAAATGACAATTCCCCATAAGCCCTTACACGGCTACATGAGTTTGAATAGAGTGTCTTGATTAGTGCAATGTACTTTCTTGGCACTCCCTTCACAGTCAGACATTGTTATAGTACCTTTCGATCCACGGAGTCAAAGGCCGCCTTCAAGTCAAGAAATATGACAATTGTTGGACGCCGAAAAGTGTGTCTATGTTCTAGAATCTGTCAAAGAGTGAAGATATGATCTATGCACCCTCTACCTGGTCTAAAGTCTGCTTGATTTTCCCTCGTCTGTTCCTCCCGAGTTCTACCAGATAATCAATCGTATCAAATATCATAATTACTAACAAAACAAAAAAGAGATAAGTCTTCAGAAATAATTGAGTCAATTATTTTTTGGCGTGTATAAAAGTGACTTCATTCAACACCGAATATGTAATACAATATTGCATTTCTTTTTTCAAAATAAAACACAAAAGGTGAGTGCATTCAAACTATCATTTACATTTTTTAATATAATAATAATAATAATCACAAGTGCAACTGACTGACTGACTGACTGACTGATTGGGTTTCAACATACAACACGAAAGTGCACCAGAGCAGTCCAACCTGCTACAACTCCATGTAGTACACACATACGCACACACACACACACACACACACACAAAGGAAGACAAAAGAGGAAGACAGAGAGAGAGAGAAAAAAAAAACAGAATTTCGAAAGAACGATGATGAGCAGAAATGTGTACGGAGGAAATAATGGTAACATGGAAAGAAAATATGCTTTAATGAACATGGGAAATCACAAAGAATGAATGCGCATCTGCGCGATTAAGAACGATTTGAGCCATATATATATATATATATATATATATATATATATATATAATTCCAAACAGTCTTAAGCCATTGGTTCTTAATGTCTTAAAGACCTTGACCAGATAATTTATACCTCCCTACATGGCTGGCTGGCTGGCTTAAATCAACCGTCACAGACTGATTTGATCCCCAACCCCTGCTTAATTGTTTCCCAACTTAATTCTATGTCACCTAACACTGCTCATCGAGAAATGCGACGCCTTGAAGCAGCTTTTCCATATTAGTTTGTTTATTAGATATATATCACACAGTGAGTGAAACAGTATTATTTACTGGATGACGAGGTTTCGAACAAAATTTATTGTTCATAATCATATCAATTGTAATCACACGACTTTTAAACTTGAATTTTATGGCTTTCTTTGTCTTCTCCTATTTGTCGTCGTAGGGCTAGTAGAATTTTCCAGATATCTGGATGGACAGGTGATGAATCATTCCTGTTACATGTATTTGCAGTTGATTCGATAAACAAAGCTTTTGTTATCTGTTCTGAAGCAGTTCTCACAAGTGTTGGTTGGTGAGGATTTTATCGGTTAGAGTACTCATCGCGAGCTGATATCAGAACTATTTGGAAGACGTGGGAGTACTGAGTAGCTGTTTCGTCCTAGTCTGGGACTCTTCGTCAGCATGCACCCCCACCGACGGCTACAAGTTGAGCTAAACATCACAAACTGGCAGAAGTTAGAGTTCAGCTGGCCATTGGACCAAGTCCCAGTGGCTGAACTGTCGACGAGCTCATCTTATAACAACCAGAAGGTTCGAATTTCAGAGACTACATACTGATGAAGAGTCCCACAAAACTTACCATTTCATATATGATTGAGTTCACTGGGATCGAATCTCAATATGACTTAGTCAACACGAATGAACGCATACTTAGTAAAGGTAGACATATACCGTTTGCTCGGTTACCCGGGGTACCGGAGTTCAATTAAGTTAACCAGGATCCGGATCTGAGACCTATTGACTGTATGGAAGTCCAACGTTTAAGTCAATGAATTAGATCTCCAAATTTTTCCCCGATTAAATATTTTCTTAAAAAAAAGATTAAATAAAAAGAAAGCAGAAAAAAAAGCAAAAGAACAACAATACTTACTCACCGATCATGTCTTAAACGAATACCTCGAACATCTGTTGCACAAGTAATTTCTAAAGAAATTGTTGTTTCATTCCATCCCATAAACAGGCAACATTGCTTGACAAGCGTGAATGATTACCACCGCCTAATATACCCAGTAGATTTGTACGGAATAACATTTCCATATAGCCTACACCAGTTCCATCACGGATATCGAATTCTTTTATGCACATACAATAAATAACAACAGATGAGATAGAAATAAAGCAAATGCATGATATAATGAACGGGGCAAAAAATTCATTTTACTCTTACTAATTATCTTAAAGAGTCTCATTAAACAGTTTACATTATCGATCTTGGAAAGGAACTCCATTCCTTGCTACAAAAATTTGACTGATAGAGTTCAGTCTGCATCAAATGGAGGACCAGGAACATGACATTGGTTTACTACTCACCGACCAATCAAAGCACCGAAAACAGTCCTATAGGAGGAGATCAATCACGAGCCTGGATAGCTCAGTGGTAACGTCTCTGACTGCAGCATTGGCTGATGCTGGTTCAAATCTCTGAACGGGCAAGAGTTCCTCCAAAACTGTGGCAGATACACTTTTCAGACTGCTGAATGCTAGCAAGCACGAAACCTGGTTCCAAGGCTTCCTGCTCTCTCCAACCATCTAACAGTTTCAATGGCTGTTAACTCCCAGCTAGATTGTCCCAAAATACATAGCTTTCTGTCGGGAGTCAGTGAATGGTCTGAGTCTAACGGTCTTAAACTGAATCCTTCTAAATGTCAAACTGTTAATTTCAGCTTAAGATAGTTTAAAAAACAGTTAAAAGAAACCGTCGATTCTTATGACAGTTGTAAGATTGACGACAATGATATAGGAATCAAAACAGAAATTAAGTATCTTGGACTTATTCTCTCTTCTGATCTCTCCTGGTCTTCCCATGTCTTAGTGATCTCCAGTAAAATATTCCGCCTGACATTTTACATTAAGAAGTTAAGGCACTCGGGTATAACACAACCCCACCTCTTACAGTTCATAAACTCTTGCTTGTATCCTACCTATTCTTCTTTATTGTTCACCCTTATTCTTTCCTGCTTTGCTTAAAAAGGACTATGTCACAATTCGTAGAATGCTGAAGACTGTCAGTAGGGTGAGTGGTGTCCCACTGGACCACATAGTTAATGTCGTTGTCGATAGCCACTTGACTTCGTGCAATAAATTTGTTAAAGGGATTTTGTTTGACTTAGGGCATCCATTTTACCCTCAGCTTTCACCTTGAGTCTCCCCAGGTAGAACAAGAAGTAACTTCAGAAAACTGTATACTCGCACGTCTAAGTATAGAAATTGTATGATACCATACTTGGCACGTATTTTATGTGATGAAAATAGTGTCAGGCAAGAATTAACTAACCTTTTTTCATCTAGTAAATAAACAATTTCCTCCATCCATCCTTATATACCTTCAAGTTTTACTTTTATTATTTCTATTATATTTATGGTCCTGTTGCTTCTTTGTTTCCTTTACTCTCATAATTGCATGACTGCTGTAATCTTTGTTTTCCCCTCACCATATCACGTAAAGAGAATATTATATTCAGTATTTTTAAACATGCTAGGATTTCTATACCGCATTGACAATACTGTGTGAAACAATCCCACAGCAATTTTCACTTGTATTATTATTATTACCTTAGCTGTTATCATTATTATTATTTCCATTATAAATGCTGCATGTTTTTGACATTACCTCTATTGTAAATGTGGAAAATTTTCTACGTGATTAATTTCTATTTATAATTTAAGGAAATTAGATGCAATAATATTGTGATTAATGCTGAAAATTCCATTCTGTATCACAAGTACTGTTTTTTGGAATAAAGTAAATCACTATTATTATTAACAGCAATTCACAGTTCACTATGATGGCGAGCAGCCACCCAGCATGCTGACCACATTGTAAACTTGATGAATAACTTGACGCATGACACTGTTTACTACCACCCAGTGACCAATCAATCAAAGTTCTATGGGCTTGAATAACAACAGCGTATGTTTCTTGATGAGTATCAAAAAATATTTCTTTTTCACTATTTTTCTGCGTTTCTAATGGGACGTACGGCTTCAAGCATGAGCCTTCAAGTTTCAGTAGCGGTAGTGGTAGTGGTAGCCTCACCACGCCTAACTCTCCCTCTCTACCAGTTTTATTAGCGAGATTCGAGAGGATGTCAACTGGGGATCGAACCCCATATATATATATATATATATATATATATATATCCAAACCAAGTTCACATTTAACAGTTTGATGTCAAAATTTGGGCACTGGGTATAGGATATACGTTATATAATAAAGGGTTGTTTTTGTATTTCCTAATGAATGAAAAACAAAACGATATTATTGTTTTGTTTACTGACGGTTCACTATTCATTAATGCTGCTGCTAATAGCTTTATCAAAGTAGTATTTGAATAAAGCGATTTAGAAGACAAATTTTGCGAGATGACAACGTCATTTCGTAGTTTCTCTACAACCGCTTTACAACTAACATGGTTAACAATAATAAAATAAAATAAAGTTCATGACAATTACTCAGTTCTATAAAACAAAAGTACACACTAATGACCAATCATATTTAGATAGGTCATGTAGTCCAGGGTAGGCGAAGATTGAAGTTTATTGTTTTTATGTACTCACAGCTTAGGTTGTACGTGATTAGTCCAAAGTGCTTCCATCACCTGAGTAATTTTCATGAACTTTATTTTATTTTATTTTTGTTAACCATGTTAGTTGTAAAGCGGTTGTAGAGAAACTACGAAATGACGTTATCATCTCGCGAAATTTGTCTTCTAAATCGCTTTATTCAAATTTATCAAAGGGACTAATTGTTTTAATTTTCTCAAAGTAGTATTATTAAACCACAATTTACAGTCTGAACTTGTATACAACAACCTAATGACTGTTCATCAGCATGGGGCTATTTTTGCGTTGTCAAACTGGCCAACTGGTAAAGACAACAAAACCAGGTGAAGACTGTTGGATTTGACAAGTGTGTAATATTATAATTATAGGAGCAGCGTGTGTTTACATAATGAACTTGCTAATGACATTCGTGTGGATTTTGTCACTTCATGGGGGAGGGAGGTGTTGTAACCAGGCCAAATTCTGTTTTAGTTCATTGTTCCTATTCAGACAATTTGGATTCCATTTGATATGAAGTGCTTCTGATGATATAAGACGTTCTTTGTGATTTCTGAAATTTTTCTGGATGATGATTTCAGTATTGTCAAAATCAATTTTGTGACCTGATTCTATAGCGTGTAGACGAGCTATGACTAATGATTTTTCAAGCTTTTCTAGTTCACAAATAGACTTATTTCTCGGTGGTCGAACAGATGCAGCTCTACCGTGTTCATTTCTTCTGATTTTGATTTCTCTCTGGTGATGTTTGTCCGATGTATATCGCATTACATTCCAACCATTTTATTTTTTATAGAGAATCTTTAGGGATTTGTTCTTTTATATGGACAAGGTTGTTTCGCAGTATGTCTGGTGTTTTATAATTTTACACACCTATCACAACCAACAATCAACACCTGGTTTTGTTATCTTTACAAATTGGCCAATTCGACAACGTAAAAATAACCCCATGCTGAGGAACGATGATTAAGTTGCTATATATCAGCTGAGATTTTGTAAATTCTGGTTTAATGATACTACTTTGATGAAGCTATTAACAGTATTAAATAGCGAAACATCAGTAAAAACCATATCGTTTTGTTTTTCATTCATTGGGAAATACAAAAATCCTTCATTATAAAGAATTATTACGACTTATTGTTTATTTGTACACCCTGAACGAAGGGGAATAAGAGCTAGAGAGCAAGAAAACAATAAGGAAAGCTCAATATCACAATGCGGCTACTACCAGTTGGATCATCAAGAGGATACTGAAGAAGAAGAAGGGGAAAAGCAATGTATTAATGAATTCCCCACACTGACAGACTTAATACAACTTCCCAAAAAGGTAAATTGACCAACCGTATTCGAGTACTTCAGCCTCTGCTTTTTATACTTTACATCATGTTATTTTCTTGGAGGATATTTCGTTTAACATTCCATGTGAGGAAGTTAAGACACTCTGGTATTAGTCAGTTTCCACTTTGACAGTTGTTTGTTAACTCTTATATTCTGCCTAGTCTTCTTTATTATTATAATTATTCCCTTGGGTTCCGAGTGGGACATACGGCTTAAACAACGCATCTCCGCTTTCCCCTTTTTTCTGCCGTCCTCTTCAGCCGGGTTCACGATTCCCCATAATCTCTCATCTCCTTCTCGCCACACGATCTCCTCCATGTAACCCTCACACTGACGGTCCACTTGTCCCTTCCCATTCGGATTCCACTAGAGCAGTGGTCTGCACTGCGCGCGATGTCATCTGACCCTGAGTATCCTTTCGAAACACAACTCTCCCTTTAACCTTGCATCTCATCGGATAGAACTAGAAGGAACTACAAAAGACTTTATGCTCAGACGACTAACTAAAGAAACTCTACAATGCTCCTATTTGGCAGATGTTTTAAATAGTGAGAAAAGTGTAAAGGATAACACTACTAACCTACTGAGAAACACTAAGTAAACGACCCTCTTGATTCTTTCTTTCATTTTAATGCTATGGTCAATATTTTCACTTAAATTTTAACTTTATATTCATATTCTTATTCAATAATATTACCCGTGTAAATAACCTGTTTAATTATCACCCCTGAGAGAAATATAAAAATGAGAAAATTATATGAAATATTGTGTCACATGCACTGAAAACTCCATATATGCATCAAAAGTACTGTTAAGAATAAATCTATTATTATTGCTAATAGTTGATGCAGGCTACACACTTGTGGAACTATCGTTACTTTAACCAGAACAAAACGCATTTCAAAGAGGCTCTAGATTTGTTTAGTCATACCTAAACGGAACTATATTAGATGGAGGATTTCACCATGAGTTGACATCAGTTAGAGAACCACTGGAAAACCTGGGAGTACTGGGCAGCTGTTTCGTCCTAGTTTGGGACTCTTCGTCAGTACGCACCCACTGGGGTGACCTAGGGTTCTAGTGGGAAGCCGTGATCGACAGGGTACAGCAGGTTGAAGATGAGGCAGTAACTCATCGAAGAAGATGTTGAGGAATGGTTGCGCTATGTCGTGAATCGGCAGAAGTTAGAATTCATGGACTGGCCATTGGATCGGGTCCCAGTGGCTCAATGGTTTACGAAATCGCCTTGTAACCAGAAGGTCGTGGGTTCCAACCCTGTCGGCGGGTGCGTGCTGATGAAGAGTCCCAAAATAGTTGGACGGAACAGCTGTCCAGTACTCCCTACAGGTTTTCGAGTGATTCTCTAACCGACGTCAGCTCATGATGAAATCCAATCAAACAAAATCCCTACAAAACTAATACTTGAAAACTATTTAAGCCTACGTGTTCCAAATCAGTTAACCTGTTTGTGTATAAATACAATCCACTCTTGAAAAGTTGAAGATAAACAAAAAACGTTTCATGAGTATATCTGTATAAAAAAGTTAAGCAAGTTCCATGATAGTTGCTATTGATCCCGGATACCAAACAACAGAGATTTTTCTTAAAATTTCATTCCTTTACGTTCCCAGTAGAATACAGGGCTTCAGGCTAAAGCTTTGAAGTTTCGGTAGCAGTGGTATCCATTTTTACGGGACGCCGTTGCTAGACTCATATGCCCAACCTTCCCTCTTTAGCAGTCTTATTAGTGGCTTGGAGAGGTAAAGAAGTGAGTCGACGGGGGATCGAACCCCGAACCACATGCATGGTTGGCAAGCATTCTACCGCTGTGCCACCGACGCCAAACAATGGTGATAATTCTATGTAATCTTTTGGTGGGTTGTTAAAGTTTGAGTAGCGAAACTTCCTGTGCATAACAAATATTCCCTACATGATCAGATATCGTTAAAATGTCTGAAAATTGATACGTCGTAGCACTGTTGAACACCATCTTATTTAAAATAATCTGCTGAACTGTAGCTACTCGTTTCCAACAACAACAGCAGAAAATAATATTCAAAAATAATGTAGCTAAACTAGCTAATTTTGCATTAAATACTCACAACATAGAATGACTTACCATAACGTTCTAATTGTTTTAAAGGGTCGGAATTAAAAATTCTAAATCCATTTTGCATACCAACTGCAAAACATCCTATCAAATATGAAAATAAGGCAGTGAAATGGAAAGAGATAATTCACTTTGTTGCAATATTCATACATAAATAATATACTTTTAAAGGATACAGTTGCTCAGATAAAAACCTTAACAGAGTGTAGAGACATTAGATGGTTGGAGGCAATCGGCCATAGGAGGCCTTGCCAGGCCTAGGTTTCGTGCTAGTAGGCACTCACCATTTAGCAAGGCGTGTCTGCAACCTTGAAGAAACAACTCATATCCCTTCTGAGATTCGAACCCGCGTCACCCAGTGAATACTGCAGTCAGAGACGTTACCACTGAGCTATTTGGCCTGGCGATTGACCTCCTGTAGGACCGTAGTGGATATTTTGATTGGACACTAATAACTAGTGCGATGTGACTAATCCTTTCTTTGGTGCAGACTGAATCCTATCAGTCAGGTTTGTAGAGATACGCATCGAGGTGTTTCAGCAGTTCCCAATGATTTGAAAAGAAAAAGTCACAAGGAGTAGAATAAATCGGAAAGACATTACAAAGGGAAATAGGTATAGATATCTATGGGTAGGATATTCATGATTATTAAAAGAAAATAATGAGATCACATTACTTTTAATTTGAACCATGTCATCATAATGCTTAATCAACCACTAATACTCAATGTCTTCACGGTTTCAGTTAGGCAGCTTACACTTCCCTACAGCTGCTTCTCAAACCAACGTCTGAAGCTGCCGATTTTTAATTTGTACAATCGTAAATGGAAATCAACTGCACTCAGCTAGTATTAAGAACAAGATTCAGATTATCAGCATCAATAGAATGTTAAGTCAGTCAGTTCTTCTATATGGGTCAGGAACTTGATGCACATGTCACGGAAAGTATTTCCAACAAGTCACTGCAGACTATTATCAACAGTCGCCCTCTTCGCTCTATAGTGCAGATCAGATGGTCGGCTAGAAAGAATTACCAGCAAGAAACTCTGGGAATGAACCTATCAAGGACTTATCGTTCAACAAAGATTCCGAAGAAAAGTAGTAGAGGTGGATCGGACATACCACTGAGGGAACCGTTGGTTGACAACTTGCGCCAGGCAATCCTTCGGGTGGAACCCCACTGGGGAACGACATGCGTTGGACGTCCGGGGGTGACATGGAGGGGACCAAAGAGGAAAGCAGAGAACAGGGCGAAGTGGTGTGGAAATGTGCTGTTTAAGCCCTATGCTTCACCGGGAACCCAAAGGAATAATAATAGTAACCTGATGTAAATCAGTAAATACACTATGAACTTCTTATTCTGAGAGCAATTGTAAACAGAACTTTTCAAAAGAGAACGACTATCATACAAACAGTCCGCATGCCTCAAAAGTACTGAAAGTTTTAAACTTATAGTAGCAATACCAATCGAAACTGTTGTTAGTTTCAAATACCCAAGAAGTTCTATGAACACTTATATTTCCTAGACGAGTCATACGCAGGATGAAACTGACAATTCAAATTGTGAGTGATGGAACGTTTTAGTTTATAGGGAATATCTACAGCATACACAGAATCCTTGAATAAAAAAACTGCCTTAAAATTGCAGTGAGGAGAATTCTCATCGCCTAACATTAAATGTACAACAATAGATATTCACTTAGAACTAGTTAAATTATTATTATATCCTTTAGTTCCTGGAGGAAAACAGGGCTTCAGCTGAGCACCTCCATTGCCTTCTGTTTTCTGTCAACTTTTTCACCTCTCTCCAAGTCTGCCCACATGCTCTCATCTCCTCCTCGCATGACCTCCTCCAAGTTAAATGCATTTCCATAATAAAATGATTAACAAGACACAAAGTTTTATGCTTCACCAAAATTCACATCTCGAATAACTTAAAGGATTTTAAGACTAACACTGGAGAAATAAATGGTCGACGCCAAAACTTGTGGTGAGCTATACTTTCAGATATCTCATCTTCCGTCAAAGGGATGAAACAAGAGTTGCAGTGCAGTAAGTGTGGGTTTTTGTTGTATAACTAATGAAATTGTTAACAGTCATCTAAGTACACCATTATGACACAGTGTTGGGCACGTTGAACTATCACCTACTTCAGCTCACAATTACAACAAGAGCGGAATGGATGAAGCCTTCGTGGTCAGATCAAGAAACGGTGTTCAAACACGAAGCCTTTAAGTGTTGATCCAAACTGTGATGGAAGCATTAGATACTGCTTTCAGGTCCATGAAACAGCAAAATAGATAACTAGACACTCAAGTTCACTTAAGCCGTGTCTCATTCAGTAGGACACAATTCTCAACCAGTCACAGAATCCTTAGCCCTTAAACGACAAATGTGATCTACAACCTAGTGAACAAACCTTTGGGGCTTTAATGAGTATATAGGATATTATTATTTGTTGTAAACAGTATGGTTTAATATCGGCAACAACGAAGCAAATGAATCCAAGCTGTATTTTCCTCTAAATCATTGGAATCTGATTACATTATATATATATATATATATATATATATATATATATATATATATATTTTCGAAGTGGTATAATAAGGTGGTGAGCAATATTGAGGTTACGCGTCGAGTGCTACGTAAACAGGGGAAATCAATCGACGACGAAGTTGTGAAGTCACAAAGACTGAGATGGTTAGGACATGTGTTACACATGAGTGTCTAGTCATCGCCTTCCTCGACAATGGGCAATGTTAGCTGGCACAGGGTCAGGCTGGAAAACAGCTAGCCAGTGGTGGTCCAACCAAAACATGGTTTCACCAGTCAATGAAATCTACAACAGTTAGTCTAAGCCAGTCACGTAGGAAGGTGTAGACTTCCTGACTGGTTGGGGTCATCGGGACGGTCTGTCTGTCTGTTTTCGACATAGAACTTTGCACAAATGTGCGGAAGTTCAAGTCGCCACATTCCGTGTAGCACGCGAAGCAAGAGAAGAAAGTACAAGAAAAGCATAATAGAAACAGTGAGCAAAGGTGTGAGACAAAGGGGTAATAAAGAAATACAAAACAGTTTCATTGAAGATCATAAGTCACAGGGAGTGGATGCATCTGCGCCACTGAGAACGATTTTGAGCCATGTCACCAATTGTTTCCAACCATAGATTTTTGCCGTCCCGAGGACCCCAGCCTGGAAGTCTACACCTTCCTACGTGGCTAAGACCAACTGTTGTGGATTTCATTGACTGATGCCAAGTTTTTGTTTGACCGCCGCTAGCTTTTTTCCAGTCTGACCCTATATCCGCTAACATTGCTCGTCGAGGAAGGCGATGACTAGACACTCATGCGTAACACATGTCCTAACCCTCTCAGTCTTTGTAGCTTCACGACTTCATCGATTGATTCCCCCTGCTTACCTAGAACTCTACGCCTAACCTCCATGTTGCTCACCTTATTATGCCACTTTACACGGGAAATAGAACGCAGGCATCGGGACGGTAAAAACCAATGGTTGGAAACAATTGGTGACATGGCTGAAAATCGTTCTCAATGGCTGGCTTGGCGCAGATGCACCCACTCCTTGTGACTTAGAATTTCCCATGAAACTGTTTTGTTCTTTGTTATTACTATTCCTTTGTCTCACACTTCTGTTTACTGTCTCCATTATGCATTTCTTCTACTTTCTTCTCTTTCTTTGTATGCTACATGGAATGTGGTGACTTGAACTGCCGCACATCGGTGCAAAGTTTTACGTCGAAAACAGACAGACAGACACCTTCTTATGTAAATTGTACTTTTGTCTTAGTGTTTTATCATTTCTCTTGTTGATTTGCTTAACTGATAAAATTTGATGCTGTAACATGAGTTGGTAGTTTTGTAAATTTTCACTATTTCTTCCCTGGCTACTATGCCACAGTAATGATGTTCAGGAAAGCTTCGTGTGCTTTTGGAAATGTGTGGACGGTTGTTACTTCCCGGCTGTCCATACCGTGGAAGTTGGCTGATTCTTCGGGTACCTGAAACAGACAGAGGGTTAGTGTTGCGTGACCACAGAGCCCAGGGGACAACTGCTTGAGGCCGGTCACACACGGTCTGTATGAACTGGTTTCTTAGTTTGGTTCCGTATTAGTAAACTTACCACTGGTTACGGACCACCGTTGGGTATGTACAATTTTGGGGGTCGACCTTATCTAACCCCCTCCCTCCGGAGTGGAGAGACAGCATAGCTGGCATGCTGGTCATCTGAGGGAAACGCCTGATTGCTGTTACGCCCCTGTTCCCCAGTAGTACGACTTCGCCCTTAGACCCCCAGCAAAGTGCAAGAAAGATTCTTACACAATGCCGGTAACTGCTTTTAGTCTAATCGCTATCCTAACAACCTTCCTGGCATGGTAGGTCCTGCAGGAACATATGTGCCAGCCAGTGTAGCTTATTGGGTCATCGCGATATGCAAGGCCGACCACCACGTCAAGGTAGCAGCTATCGGTCGGGTATGCCACAGCATGTGTAAAATTAGTTCCTGATCAACAAGTTAGTTACACACCTGCTATCAGTCCGTGCAAACATTTACTGGGTGATTACGTTGAGCACTTTGCCAACATTGAGTTACAAGGGCCTGATTAGTTAACCATCAGGCAACTAGCCTACACAACCTGTAAGTATAGGGCAAAGTAATTAAATCGTCTCAAAACTATTAACAATCCATATACACGACACACTTACCATAGTCTTGATTGAATCCAACAAATAAGATTCCGCTGTTGCCGGAATCAGCTGGCGAAACTCGCATACACATGTGAAATATTTCAAAACATTCACAAAAATTTCACTCAAAGTTGTATCAGTGGAAAATTTGTGAGAGTTCACAGGGCCAAATAATGTGCTACAGCAAAATTAAACAAATAAATTGCAGTCCAAACAAAATCCTTATAAACAAAATAGAAAATAAAGGTGGTTAGCTTTGTTTCAGTCAGCTATCTTTAGGATTACTTTGAAATCATGGGGCGAATAATTAAGTTCACTAATAAAGGGGCTATGAAGGTAATATAAGGCAAAAGGCTTTTTAACATGATACTTTTGATAAATTTACTAAAATGGTGCATTTTATAAAAAAAATATTGAGTGGCGAAGAAATGAGCAAAAGTACACAAAATATAGATTTGAAGTGTTTGAGAAACAAGCATAACGGTGATAATGGTCACTACGTTTCAGAATTTTCTGACACGATAATATTGAGTACCCATGGATTTCATCACACGTATGACAAACAAACCTACGATCGAATGGTAGAGTTGTTGGGAAAAAAATGACAGAGCTACGAGTAGTAGTTTAGTCTGCACGTAAGCACTCTAGTTAAGTCATAATTTTCATTTTTTTTCATTCATTCGTTATATTCGCAATTGACAACACAGGGTTGATGCTGCTATCTACGTCAGTTAGAAACACCAAATTATCTTCAGTTTTATGAATAGCCACACTTAATTATTGGTAAATTCAAAAGTGACTTAATGATTTCTGGAGGTCATCTATGTTTTCTTTCACTTTGTCTCCTATCGTGCCATCCCCACACCACTCTAGCGTGCCACTAAGAGTAAAATTTCCCAGAAAACCTGTATGAAACACATTTTCAAATTGATAACTGCAATTGGTATCCACGGGTAGCTTAGTGTCCTTTAATCTCACCCATACTCCTTTTTGGGACAAAAGCAGCCAACAGTTATTAGTAGCAAAAGAGTTATACAGACTTGTGATTATGATTATCTCTCCATCAACACCCCTAGCAATTCCAAAACCCCTCTTTAAACGCCGTACATCAGCAGGTAGTTTAGCACAGTAATCAACTCGCTTTCAGAGATATGGTATATGACCCAAATCGCACTGATAGGTTTCTAAATCGCTTTGAAAATTCGATTTAATATGTCGACAGAACTGAAAAAATCCTGACTCTTTTACAACTAAAGACTTTGTCAATCTTCATTTGCGCGTCATGATTTTTTATTACTGTAGTCAATAATATGCCGCATTTGGGACTTAACTCTACTACTTCGTGGCACTGAAACAGCCAAACTTTCGGGGTGAGTGACTGAACAGTATAAGCACGTTAGTATTGCATGAAAAGTGGGAGATTTTATGAATTCCTAGTTGTAAAACTGTTATTACTATAATCTGAACTGTAGTACAAATCATTAGCCCAAGCATATGAAATCATTTCCAGCACAACAGTTTGGCCAGTGGGTGTTGATGCCCTAGTGAACTTTTATGAAAACCTAAAAAAATTGATTTGGAAATCCAGTAGATGAAGAGTTATCTCCTTGTGCAGTTAATGTATGTGTTACTAAGTATTAGGGCTTTGAATGCCGTTGAAGGCAATACCCATATAATTCCAATCCAGACGTTAATCATCTAACGTGAGCTAAACCATGACTCTGTTTTCTACCCGTCAACCGAAGTTTTTTGTGTAATCCCAAGTACTTGCTGGGTCTCCTAATACTTGTTAGGTTAACCAGACATACTCTCTATCTAACCACGAAGTAGATATTTAAATTAAAATTATTAGTAAAAACAACAACAGACGCTCATGTACTCACCGGTAGAAAATACAAGCATATTTGCTTTATATGCACTTGCACTGAACACCTGAGTAACGATGTACTTGAATGTACCGCGAGAAGAATATTACACTGTCTCAATTCACTTACTTGATTTGAGGATATGAGAAGAGAATTGCAGTTTATAGTGACATTTTATCAGTATTTTTGGATAACTAATTCATTTTGGAGATTCGTTAACCAAAGGCACGGAATTCATTTTGTTAGAAGTGGTTTAATTGACATCTTACGTAATATTTACATAACAATAAAGCCTGAAATTCATCTAAGTAACGATTTTCCGTGGTATTTCAAGATGTGATTTGCAGTACATTCTAATTCATGCTTTAAATAAAGTAAGGGATATGCGGTTTTCTCGCTACTGCATGAGTTGCTACCTGTGTGCTGGTACATGCGAATGTATTGAGATGCACTAATGAGCATTAACCTCTTTTCAGTCACCCCAGAAGAAAATATAGATCTATCCACAGGCTGCACACGCCTTATCTTGCCTCAGACCCTCTTTTTGGACCTTAACGTTGCCAGTTTGACTGGAGAGCTTTCACAGTTGATTTATAGATAAAATGAACAATAGCTGATATTGGATGGTTGGAGGCAGGCAGAAGGAAATATTGGAACTAGATTTCGCGCTAGCTAGCGCTCGTCATTAAGCAGTACCCGCAAATTCAAAGGAACTCAATGGCCTCCTGAGATTCAAACCGACGTCAACCAATGATGTAGTCAGAGACGTTACCAGTGAGCTGTTCAAGATAACGATTGGCCTCCTACCGTAGGACCTTTCTTCATTTCTTTCCATTCCCAGTGGAACACAGGGCACCTTCAGGCCTTAGGCTTGAAGTTTCTGTAGAAGTGGTGTTGAATTTTACAGGATGGGTTTGCTAGCCTCATGCCCAAGCCTCCCTCATTACCAGTATTGTTGCTGACTTAGCGGGGAAAAGGAATGCGTTGACCGGGGATCGAACTCCAGGCCATAAGCGTGGTTGCAGGACGTTCTACAGCCGTGCCACTGACGCACCCGGGGGACCGTATTGGAAACTAAGTGGCGTCCAGTCAAAGTATCCGAAGACACCATTTACTAACTAGTGTCCAATCAAAGAGTAGTTACTCTACTTCGTCGCTTCTAAGACCATTTCAGCAGACTGTCAAAAGACCTAGTTTCTGCAGCCTTTAGCCGCAAAATCTATTCCGGTAACTCATTTCTGGCTTCGTCGATCCTCCGAAGAAATGCTATTTCCCAAATTTGCTTCATATTCTCAGGTTCCATGCGATACAGTTTACTGTGTTTTACGGCGAGAACCTAATAACACTTCCTGTCTTCACCCAGCACTAAGAAGTTGATATGGTCTAGTAAATTTTATGGAAAAACTAAGAGGTTTTATGCTATGAGGCCGTCTAGGTAATGTTTTATCAACTCGATTTTAGGCTACTGTTACGTCATTCATTTGCTTCTTTTACCTGTGCATATTTTTATATCCACATCAGTTCCATAGATTAATGTAGCTTTGAGTATAGAATAATGTTACTTTACATCGCTGGATTCACGACAACGTGCCTAATTAGGTGATTTTCGCTCGGCTCACAAGCTATTAATATGTACACACAGTGACGTTGATGGAAGTTATAGCTGGGTTAGCTATGTCCCATGAAACCCACAATGTAGTGCTCCGAGATCCATGCTTTTCGTATTCAATAAAAGCCTACTCAGTGTTAAGTAGCTAATACTTTCACCAAAGTTAAGAAATCATGAAATTATCACGCTTTCCAGTCGTCTAGATCAGGAAAGATCCTGAGATTATCGCTAATCCCAGAAGACTAATCAGTACGTCAGAATGCTTCGTACAGTAACCGGCACGATAATGTCAGAAAACAGAATAGCAATACGAGGGCTATTTGCTTCTTCAGAAGAATACGGTTACAAGGCACAAAGTTTATTAATAAACGTCAACGTATATATTTATATATATATTCATATCTATGTAGAACACACCAGTTTTACAGGCATGGATGAGTATTGTTTAAATTAAATAAACTTGATTTATGGTGAAATTACATGTTTGCTGTCTTTTTGATATTAGCTTGTGGATACAATCTGCTGATCAGTCATTCAATGGAGCACATTAAGTAATATAGAAGTTGCCAGCCACGTCTCGTAAACCGTTAATGTCCAGCTCTTGCTACGCTCGGGCTCACGCTGTCGCTTGAAGTTTCTCAGAAACGCTTAGTAATAACGGACGAAAAAACCAAAACACCAATTGTTGACTCGAGGATTCTTTATTGTTACACCAACATATAAATCACGTATGACTAAGGTCTGTGAACAAATATTACAATAATAAATCACAATATTACTAATGACGGTGTTTCACTCTTCTTTCTGAACAGCGACCGATGAGACGATGACTGTCGTATTGATGCCTCCGCGAAAATTGGGGAAGTTGGTTTTGAGCAAACAACCATGAATTGATCGTTCAATCTTCAACTACTTTGACAGAAGTATTGTCTTCGTATCAACAAAAAAACCTAAATATGTGTTGAATGGATCACAAATACTTGGGGGAAAAATAAAGCTTGAAGTCAACTCCTCCGTATAACTTTGTTGTGTGCGGCATCGTATTGTAGCGGTAAATAATTCCTAAAAATTATTGACCACAACAATCACTCACCATTGGATGCTGACCGCCACTGTTTATGTCGACTTGTTTAGCTGAAGGCTTCCGGTCAAGTATCCCCGCCATTTTGGTACCCCGTCGTGTCACGTGCACGATCACTAGCTTGCCAAGCGTTCGTCTGAAGGCTTGTTTTGGTCCCGAAATATATCACGAAGTTTGGACGATCAATTATTGGCTTTTGCTTTGTTTTCGGTACGCGAGAATAATTTAGAGGCTGTGTAAGATAATTCTGTCAAACCTCTTAAGTATCTTTTTCCTGATTTGCATCCGAATTGGGTACTAATTTGAAATAAGTCATTTATTTGTATAATTTTGTCAGCATTTTTATGGTAGGTAACGCCAGAAGTGAACTGTATTGAATGTAGATTAATTTGGTCATTGTCAGGCAGATTTTTTTCACAATAATTTGTTACAATAATACTTCTGACAGTTTTTCTCCAGTCTTTTGACAACCAGAGTACGATTAGGCAACCGCTACCACTGTTGTTTCCAACCAAATCGAGGTCATTTCGGAAAAA